CTGGGCCACGTAGCCTCTGCCCACATGTTTGAACCAAGCGGGCGGAATCTTTCCCTGGAGCGGACAAGACCCCACGAATTTGGTCCAATGATTACCCCACCATGTCCACAGCCTTCGGGAAGCTGGACAAGACCAGATAAGATGTTCCAATGTTTCCTCAGCCCGCCCTCCACATCTGAGGCATTTAGTACGAAGATCCATCCCTTTCTCAAATAACCAAGTGGTGCAGGGAATGGACACATGGGAGAGCAACAAGGCAAGGGCGGAGAGCTTTTGAGAGGGTAGAGACGTCAACTGATCCCACAGCTGGGTTAAGTCTCCTGGCTGCAGGTTCTGCTGCAGGTCCGGTTGTGATCGCAGGAGTCTGTTGAGTCTTCTCGCTGCTTCTTCGGGCAGATTGACTTCCTTGGACATAATGCTCCTTCCCACCTTGGATGAATATTGAAAAAGGAAGACTTGTTTACCCCTTGCCGTTCGCCAGCTGTGTCCCATTGGATCGATCTTGAAACTGTTGACGGGTCTTCCGTTTTTCAACAATCGGTGAGTCGGGGCTTCAGATCCCTGTGACGATGAGTGGACTCTAATGAGTTGAAGAGGCTGTTGATCGTCGATGCAGAGGTCAGTGGGTGATGAGAGCTGGGGGAGCTGCCCTGAGCGATCCTGTCTTGACCAGTGCTTCGCACGCCAGAGCCCATCCCCCAGACTCTGGGAGATTTGCACCACCTGTTCTGTCTGATGTCCAGGTAGGCTTGTGGAGTACCATTCGCCTTCTATTGGGTCTGCACTTTGCAACAGTAGTGTCCAGTTAGCCGGTATTGCTTGAATGATCTGTTGCCTGCGTTGGTTCACATGCGGCAAGTGTCTGAGTTTAGATCTTAACACATCTTCTGAGGCCCACTCTTGTTCGTCTTCGTCCCAAATGTCTGCAACACGGCTCACTCCCCTCTCGATCCAGGGTCTGCTGAAGGAACCTTGGGATCTCGTTGCTTGGAAGGGCTGGTCGTTGTCGTCCATGATAGCTTGATTATCGAATAGATTCTGCTGCATGACTTCTTCCCGTGTTACCGGGGTCTTCGGTTGGAGGGGCTGGAGTGCTCTCCAGGCTGTCCAGATGGCAGTGGCCAGAACCGATGAAGGCTGACGGCGTGTAAAAGATGACATGAAAATACAGGCCCACACGTCTTCCTTGCGAGAAAGCCCGAAGTCTTGCTGCAGGATGTATTCCAATACTGCAATCCATGCCCTGTTGTCAAACTGGAGAGCTACTTTGCAGAACCACTTGCCAAGGAGGGCAAGRTTTTGGGCTTCAGGATCTAGGATACCTAAGCCCCCTTCTCTTCGAGGTCTCGAGAMCTTTGTCCAAGYACATTTTGTGATGAAGCCTTCGTCATTCTCCRCCTTCGGCTTCCAGAGGTATTTAGCTGCATCAGATCGAATACTTCTTAGAGTAGTCTTGGGAATCAGCATCACTGCAGCGGTATACCAAATCTGAGAAAAGACTGTCGAGGTAATAAGGATAGCCCTTCCGAAAAGGGATACTCCCACCGCTGCCCTACATCGGCTGAGCACAGCCTTGGATTTGGCAGCGAGGATTGAATGCTGGTCTGATCTGGCATCAGACAGTGCTACTTGGATACCCAGGTACCGCTCACACGTCTGAGTTGGTACTCTCTTCATGACCCAAGTGTGACCTTGTGACTCATGCCGAGCATGTAAGAAATAGACAGATTTGTTCCAATTAACTTGCGCCTCAGAGAGCTGAGAGTATGAGTCCAGGATACTCTTCGCTGCCGCTAAAGAGTCAGGAGTTGCCTCTGTTACCAGCAGGAGGTCATCCGCAATGGCGCCCGTCAGCAACTGGTCACCTCCACCCAGCTGCAAACCTTGAAGTTGTGGTGCCGCCCTTAACGAGTTGAGTAGTGTCTCCATCTGAATGGCAAACAGAAGGGACGCCAATGCGCAACCCTGGCACAGAGAGCGAGTGAGAGTAAAGATCGGGGAGACGAAGCCGTTCACTAGCACCGTTGCCGTCGAGTCTGTGTATAATTCGGAGACCCATCTGCGGTATTTTGGACCAAAGTTCATGTGCTGGAGTGTTGCGAGAACGAACGACCAGTTGACCCGGTCGTATGCCTTCTCAAGATCGAGCATGGCCACCATGACCTGCCGGTCTTCTCGTTGAATGATCTCGAGGGCGCCCATAGCCGCGAGAACATTCTCGAAGATGGAGCGTCCTTGGACAAAAGCTCCTTGATCAGTGTGGACGAGGTTCGGTAGGAACGGCGCCAGTCTTCTGGCAAGTACTTTGGCCAAGATGTTGTATGAGATATTCAGGCGACTAATGGGCCTCCAGTTACGAACGTTGCGCTTGTCTCCCTTCTTGTACAACAATGTGATAACCCCAAACTTCATATCCTCAGTGAGTGTACCTCCCTCCAGAATTTTGTTGAATAGTCTCAGAAGGATTGGCCCCACGTGCTCCCACGACGCGATATAAAACTCAACAGGCAACCCATCTGAGTCGGGACTCTTCCCCTTTGCCATGGCTTTAGTTGCCGCCCATAATTCGGGCATTGTGATTGGCTGCTCCAGTAGATCCCTGGCTTCTGAGGAGAGTTGCGTTGTTGTGTTGCTCCACAGGTCGTTCTCTTCCTGTAGTTGTCCTAGAGACTGATCCGGAGGTCTGCGCGAAGTTAAAATTTCTTCAAAATATTGTCTTGCGTAGTCTCCGATGGCCTCTGAATCTGTTGCGACGTCAGCTTCCGCGTGGAAAGGATGCTGCAGTTCTCTTATCATTGTATGGGTCTGTCGGGGACAGATTCTCTGGAAGGTCTCTTTACTCATTCGATCAGCCGTGATAATACCTTTTTCTTTGGCCTTGTTTGCCCAGCTGATCTGCTGTTCAATCTGCAGGTCGTCCCATTTCGACAGCCATCTGTCACGCCTGTGAAGCCAGTAGAGCTCTGTGATGGTACCTGTCTCTAGCATGTCCTCCGCTTCCTTTACATGGGCCAGACACTCCTCCTCTTGCTGCCTCCGCCCTCTTGCCTGAATGCATGAAAAGACATCCAGGGCCCGCCTCACGATTCTGCAACCTACAGCTGTCCATTCTTCCTCGGTGTCAAACCAGTCCCTGGTGGACTGCCAATGTTGCCAGTGGTTGGCAACCCACTGCAGTAGCTCCGGTGAGTTGACTGAATATACCTGGGCCTCGCTGCAACTGACCTTCAAGTAGAAAGTCTGCCACCACTGGTCTGTGATCCGAGCCCGGTGTGATCATGACCTCTGCTGTTGTAAGTGATTCCCATGCTGCCCCTTTAGTTAATAGGAGGTCCAGGCGTCTTTTGGGAGGTGGAGCACCTCCGGTTCTTTGTGAAGAGTGCCAAGTATAACCGTGAACTGTGGGATGAGTGCTCCTGTAGGCATCTGTGAATTCGTTGAGTTCCATAAAACTGAGCAGCATCTGTGCATCCAACTTCCGTGGAGTTGGGGCACGGGAGTCAAGACCAGGTTGCAACACCAGATTGAAGTCCCCAGCTAGAACAATGTTCTGCGCCGGGGGTACCACATGCGGGAGCTCCTCCAAAAAGCCTCTTCGCTCTACAGGATCAGATGGAGCGTACACAGTCATGATTGTCCATTGCTGTTCACCGAACTGGACCTGGACCCAAGCCCATCGTCCCCACAGGTCAACTTCAGCATTTAGGATTTCAAGCTGGAGGCTGCGGTGAATGAGGATTGCTACGCCCCCACGTGTTCCTTCAGCTGGGGACCAAAACTGTTCACCTCTCCACCAGTTTCGAACTGCCGCCCTCTGAAGTTTACACTGCAATCCAAACTCTTAGGTCGCGTGCCTGTCACAGGGCAGAGCTTCTAACTGCAGTCTAGTCATCCACGTCGGAGGGCCAGGCCGTTTTCCACAAAAAAAAAATGAAGAAACAAGAAGAAAAAAAGAAAAGCTCGTGGCGCTGTATCTTTCCATGATCTAGTGGAAGATTCACTCTCAGTTTCCACGATAGAAATGTGGAAAACGAGAGTGAATCTTCCCTAGAACATGGAAAGATACAGCGCCACAAGCTTTTCTTTTTTTCTTGGCAACGGGGATACAGGGGATACACGTGCTGAAAACAACACAGTTTCTTTTCTTTTTTTTTTCTTTTTTGTTTTTCCTTCTCAGATTTCCCTACCTACGCTTGTCATCCTTGGGGCCTCGTGGCGTTGCATCTTTCCATGTTCTAGCGGAAGATTCACTCTCGTTTTGCATTTTTTTTTATTTTTATTTTTTTAATATCTGAGCACCGTCGCGTGGCTGGCCACGGCCGCGATGCCTCGGCCACATCCGAGGTAAAAAGAAAAAGAAAAAAAAGAAAAAGAAAGAGAGAGAGCATCTCGTCGCGTGGCTGGGCCACGGCCGCGATGCCTCGGCCACG